TGACCGCAGGTGGCTGGCTTGAGCCGTGCCAGGTGCAGGGTCTGCTGGCTGGGTGCTGGCAGGCTTGCACTTGGCACGGGCACCGTAGCCAGACCGTGCCCCTTTAAGGGTACCGTGGCCGGGAGGGGGGCAGAAGAGTTTCCCTGGTGGTGCCCAGAGTGGCCACCAGGGTAAGCTGGGGAGAGCTAGCCTCCCACTAGTTCGAATTAAGTGGCTACACATCCCTTAATTTGAACTACTTAATTCGAACTAGGCGTTAGTCCTCGTAGAATGAGGTTTACCTAGTTCGAATTAAGCGCTCCGCTAGTTCGAATTAAGTTTGAACTAGCGGTTTGCCTGTGTAGCGCCTATCAAAGTTAATTCGAACTAACGTCTGTTAGTTCGAATTAACTTTGTAGTGTTGACATACCTATGAGAAGTAACAGTTAATTTGAGGGAAGGGTTTTTGGATCGGACTACCGCATCTACATGGTGAGTTAATTCGGGCTTCCGGCATTTTAAAATGGCGACCGGCCGCGAATATGCTAATCAAGCATGGGATATTTAAATCAGCGCTTCATTAGCAACTTTGGTATGCTTCATTTGCCTCCCTAGTTTGAATTGTGGGCAAGTGTAGACATACCCAGAGTAAGCAGTCCTCCAGTTTGACAGTACAGGCAGTCCCCGGGTTACATGGATCCGACTTACATCGGATCCCTACTTACAAATGGGGTGAGGCAACCCCGCACTAGCTGCTTCCTCCCAGCAGACCAGGGAGCAGCAGACCAGGGAGACGTGGAGCGGCTTTTCTCAGCAGACACCTCAGCTTGAGAATAAAGGACTGAGGGAAGTGAGGTGTGGGAGAATAAAACTGAGCTCTGGAGAAATGTTTGGCTAGAGTTTCCCCTACAATATGCACCAGTTCCGACTTACATACAAATTCAACTTAAGAACAAACCTATAGTCCCTATCTTGTACGTAACCCGGGGACTGCCTGTATTTTGAAACTACTTTGAAATAGCTGCCTGCTGTTTAGACGTGGTCTAAGTTATTTCAGAATAGTGCTAGTTATTTCGAAATAGTGTTACAGTATAGACATACCCGCTGTGAAAACACTTTCCTACTTAAGCCATCTGATCTCAGCATATTCAGAATCACTATTGCTTTCTTTAGTGACTAAAATAAACGTTAGCTACATTTTTACTTTTCCAGCACTACAGAGAGAATTCAAACTACAGAGTGGTAGAATTTATTTTAGGTTGTCTATCAACAGAATTATCTCTTAATTCCCAACTGAAGAGACAAATTCTGACCTCTGTTGCACCTATTTGGGTTCTGCGACTCTTCTCAGGTTTGGTGAGGATGAATTTGAAGGAAATGGGGTTGCAAAAGGACAGAGTTTAACCAGCAAAATATTTTGTACTAGTGTTCACTCCTAAGAAGAAATAACATAGTTTATAGTCTTTTGTTGTTTTCTTTTTTAAAAATCCTAAATTGAGATTGTAGCGCTAGCAGTAGTATTTTACTTGTATAACAACAACTTTTTTTTATTTGTAACTGAATGTATTTCATTTCGAAATCATTCGTTCTGGATTTTGGCTTTGTAAGAGGAAGCATATACCTGTGCTGCTGGATGGGAAAGAAATTCTGCCTCTGGGAGGTATAATTCCCAACATGCTTCTATGTTGGTCTAGCAGTGGGGAATAGTAAATTGTTTGCCTTTATACACAGCAAATGATTATATCCTATACCTCTGCAGTAGGTTCTGCTGGTCACAGATCCCAACATTTCAGTGAGTTGGCAAATAAATATAAAAAGAGCAAGTAACCAAAAAACCCTCAGCATTTCTGAAAGATTCCATGTATATTTGGTTCTAAAAGTGGATGAAGTTTAAGAGAATTCTAGAATACAGTGGTTTGGGAGAATTGGAAAGGCCTTGCCTATTAACATGATGCAGACTGTTGTAAAATATTTATTTTGTGCACACATATATATATTCCCTGTACAGCAAATGGATAATAGTAGCAGCAAAATTTAATGGATTAGCCACTTGTTTATAATATGGGGCATCTGGATTTTAATGCTGTTTCTGTCACTGGGCTCACTCTGTGGTTTTTTTGCAAGTCACTGGGATCATCTTGCTTATTATCACCATCCATACAAGTGTAAATGCTATTTACTTTCCTAATTATTTCACATTTGTACAGTATCATGAAGATGATTAGTAGCCTGTAAATACTAAGTTTAAGATTTTATTTATGTTTCATCAGAAAAAACGAATTCAGTTTTAAATCGTGGAAAGTGATTACCAGTTTAATTCTTTTAAATTATTTCTAAGAAAAAGTATGAGCCTATTATTTCCATCTAACAGGAAATTTCAGATAATTACTCAGTTCAAGAAAAGGTATTATTCCATGAACAGGAAGTAAGTAAGGTGATGAATAATTGGTCCCAAACAATATCCCATGAATCACATCTGATTTTACACTGGGGAGAATTAAAACTAAGTTCACTGAAGTCAAGGTTTTGCATTAATGTAAAAGAAGTGTATCTGGAACCCTCGAGTGTTTCATGCCAGATAATGGATACCATTGAAAGTATCATACAGAAAAGTATTTTCTAATTTTTCTTTCTTTCTTTCTAACATTTTTATAGGTAATCCATTATTAACCAGCAAGGTCAATGTTATAATACATGTCTTAGATGTCAACGAATTTCCTCCAGAAATTTCAGTGCCATATGAGACATCTGTATGTGAAAATGCAAAACCAGGACAGGTAGTTGGATATTTTGCTTTTTTAAAATGTTAGTATTATTTTATAAAAATAAAAGACAGTTTAGGAAAATAACTGCATTGTGTATGAGACACACTTAAAAATGAAAAAATGTGGATGAGATTTTTCAAAGTTGTCTAAAGGATCTCAGAACCAAAAATTCACCATGAAATCCCCTAAAAGTTTGATATATCAGCTTGTAATCCTTTTGGAAATTAGCTGTGAGTTCCCAATGAAAACAATCTTTTAGGGGCAACCTTTTGAAATGCTTACTGTTGCCCATCACATTTTCTGTGTTTTTTACTGTTATTTGTTTGTAGCTCCTAGAGGCCCAGCGTCTCTTTGGCTACGGCTACACTGTAGCCTTCTTGCGGAAAAGCTTATGCAAATGAAGCACAGCGTGGAATATCACAGCGCTTCGTTTGCATAAGCTGTTCTGCAAAAAGGCTACAGTGTAGCCATAGCCTTTGTAGATAATGTACAAACATATAACATTAAAAAAATGCTTCCTAAAAAAGCTTAAGTGGAAGACACCTAGACAACAGGTAGAGAAAACAGAAGAGTTAGGCTCAAGGAAACAATTAAATGACACTTGGACAAATGTTTTTCACTATATGGTCCTTCCCTGGGAAGAAGTCTCAACAAGGCTGAATGATTTTTACTCTAACCATCAACAAACTGAAATGTACCCATCACACTCAGGATTTAATTCTGGTACACTCACTCAGTTGAACAAACCACAGATGGTGTATAAATCAATACTAGAATAAACAGAGTAAGATGTTTCTCAGTCCATAATTCTTTGGTATGGAGTACTGTTAAGTGCTGAAGGGTAAAAGGTCTGCAAAGTCCTAAGCCATTACATCTTTTGTACTTGTATCAAAATTTTGCCACAAGGAAATAAGGTTTGAACTGCCGACAGTTTACTTACTTCAATTATCAGCTATAGAATTAGAATGATTCTGCTGTCTCTATAAACTGTAACTAACAAAAAATCAAAACACTATGTAATCATCATACTCATTTTTAAGTGATAGTTTTGGCTGTGACTTCAAAACATATTAATACATTAAAATGGATTAACAAATAATTGTTGGCTTCATTAAGAACACAGGAAGCTAACCCACCTCTATAGTTAGATGGTGGCAGTTTTTCAGTTGTTGTACTTCACCTCAGTTTCAGGGCCAAACCCCTTGTTTTTATTTTGGGAGGAAAGCTGGAAGTCAAAATTTACCACAAAAGGAGTATTGTGTATCCACCAGTTTCAGCCAGAGGCTGTAATAATCAATGTGCATCTGCATGTGCCTTCCTTTACTAATCTGTTGTATACTCTACTTTCCTATTTTACTGGTATAATGTAAAATGATATTTATAAAGCAGTGATCAGTGTATTATGTAGCCACTGATAGTAGCGATGGAACCATCTTAAAAGCTTTGGTTCAAAGGAGAGAGTTTATAGCATGACTTGCTGGGGTATACTACTCCTCAGAAAATGAGGCATTCTACCTTCATCCTACAACACAGAGGAATCCCTGCAGCACTTTATCCCTGCAGGAAACAGACTCTGTGGTGTTATTGCTTCAATGTCCCTTTCTGTTGTTTCACTTGATGACTCATTAAGGTTCCTGCAAAGCTGTATCTTTTAAGAGTGAACTGACCTCAAATTCAATTTCAATTTGCTTTCAGGTAATTCAGACTGTCAGTGCTGCAGACAAAGATTTGTCCCCTGCTGGGCAAAGATTTTCCTTTAGACTGTCACCTGAGGCATCCACCAAACCAAATTTCACAGTCCAAGACTACAGAAGTAAGTTATTTACCCATATTATCAAGGAAAGTAGTGAATACTTCAACTCTTGGGGTGCATCTAGATTGGCCGCTTGAATTTGCACAAGAGCACTGACTTTGTAATGTACAAAATCAGTGCTTCTTGCGCAAAAGCTTTCACGCTCCCACTCGGGAGAAAGCCCTCTTGCGCAAGAATACTCGCTCAAGAGGGACAGTGTAGACAGGGAAGAACTGTTTTGCGCAAAAAAGCCCCGATGGCTAAGATGGCGATTGGGGCTTTCTTGTGCAAAATCGCGTCTAGACTGGCCACGGATGCTTTTGCACAAAAGCATTTTTGGCGTAAAAGCATCCGTGCCAATCTAGACGCACTTTTGCGGAAATACTTTTAACGAAAAAACTTTTCCGTTAAAAGTATTTCTGCAAAATCATGCCAGTCTAGATGCAGCATTCATGTCTTCAGATCAAGAGTGGATGCTTTTCCAGAAAATATACTTTAGCCAAACATTTGCTATTGAGCTCAATAAGGCATCCAGGAGGTCATACTAGAAAATGATCTAATGGTTATTTTTGGCCTTAGCATATTCTACTCTGTGGAAATCATTTACATATTTTTTAAACAGAATACTTGAATATTTCAATGTAATAAAATATTTAAATAATCCCTGGAAGTTTTATACTTACATAATTTATTGCCTTAACTATTCATGAACAATGAATGAATCTAAAAGACTGGGCCAACTATTTTCTACATGTTTTTGTATTTTGGAGTCAAAATCAAAAAGAAGTAAACAGCATACACTTATTTTTGTGAATATATTATGACTTTTGAAGTTTTGCTCAAAAAGTTTCACGTCCTCTTTTTTTTTTTCCAGTTCATTTACAGTATTTGGTGAATTTGATGGTATTACACAGTCAGCCAGTAAGTCCTTTCTGATGGTAGATGGTGGAAAAATAAGGAGCTGATATTAGAGTGAGAAAGAAGTCCAAAAATAGAAAAATAGGAGGTTGAAGGAATGAGAAGTATAGCATAGTGCAAATATCCCAAGATCATTTACTTTATTTACTGGCTCTACTAACTGCCCAGAAATGTCAGAATTTTTCCCAATTGCACATCAAGACAAAAGTGAGATTTGATTCTTTTTCTGTTTAAAAAAAGGAGGGGGACACCCCCCAATAACCAAGTCAAAGGGAGTTGTCTCTCATATGCTAGGTAAATGCCTTTTTACCAATGGGCTATTGGCCGTTCTGGGAAGGGTTGTTCTTTCTTTAATCAGAAAACTCCTTCCTGGACTTGAGAAACCTGTTTCATCAAAACATTCCCATAAGATGCTTTGATTTCAACAAATCACTTTGGCATGAAATACTGCATACACTTTTACCTTAAGTTTAGCCATGACGTGAAGAAGAAAGATACTGAAGGGGACGGAAGTGTATGAGTTTGTTTCATAATATTGATTTTCTCCGCTGAGGGGTAGAGGCAAGAAATCAGTGGGACCAGAGTTTGGGGGAAACCACACCAAAACAGTCAACCAGAGTCTACTCTTAAAGTCATGTATGGTCTCCTACTAACTACAATGACAGCAGGATTGCCAGCCCCAAACATTCAAAGCTTAGGATAAAGGATTCCAAAAATCAAAAATGACTTAAAATCATGAGACATTGAAAATACAAAGAACAATATTTTAAGAGAGTTCATATTTTCAAGCTTCAATATTGCTGTGTATTGTTATACATCAAGGCCTGTGGTTCTCAACTGGTGGTCCATAGTGACTTTTTCGGTGGTCCACAGGAACATTGTCCAAAGTTACATGGCATGAGCAGGCACCACCGTTAGGCTGTTTTATGCCACGTTCATAAGCACGTAGCGCGTCCTCCATAGCATCACCTAGGACGCAACTGCGTTGTGTTGCCAGTAACTTCCGTCTGAGGTTCTGAGCATCAGTGTAGCTGCCGCCGTCATGCTGAGCAGTTTCTGTGTCATTCGTCCTGCGCTACATGTGCTGGAGGTGGTCAGGGGCGGCCCGTGAACCTAGGCGAACTAGGCAGTTGCCTAGAGCACCGCTGGCCCGAGCACCCGATGATGACATCACGGCCATTGATGGCCGTGCGGGGGGGTCGCCAACTGTGCCGCCTGCCTGGGGCACCAGCTGCCACAGCCGGCCTCAGGCCGCTCCTGGAGGTGGTCCACAAAATTTTTTTGATTGGCCTGGTGGTCCGTGGACTGAAACGAGTTGAGAACCACTGATCTAGGCAAAGTTGATGGTTTAAAATGCTTTAAAGGAAAGGTTAGATTCTCCTGATTCCAGGAATTTGGGTTTAAACTAAGGAAAGAGAAAAAAAACCAAGCACTGCAGGACTCACAATAAAATAAAAGCTTCCAAAATAGGCAACGTTATGCTATGCTAGAGGCACGTACATGCATCCGCAGAGCATTTTTTGGCCATTTTTGTGATAATTTCCTGTAACTATTGGCTTTTGAATTTAAGACAAAATTCTACATGCCCATTATTGAGTTCATAAGGCCTGATCTATACTAAGAATCACAGCAGTGATTAGTCAGGGTGTGAAAAGATCACATTCCTGAGCAACATAGTTGAACCAATTTAACTTCCCAAGTACACAGCACAAGATTGATATAAACATTCTTCCACTGACCTACCTATCGTCTGTTGGATGTGGATTATCTATACCAGTGGTTCCTAATGTTTCTATACAGGAGATGGGCAAATCCATTCACAAATTTTTGGCGGACCACTAACATTTTATTTGCATGTTTATATATTCATTATGCAAATGAAGATTCAAATATGCAAATAAAATTTTACCGATCTGCCAAAAGTTTGTGAATGGGTTTGCCAGTGTGCATTATAAAAAGCACTGGCCCCCACTGCCAGCCTTAATCCCTAGAACCCTCACTCATCCACTATCCCCCAACACCAGCCACTGACCCCAAAGTCCACAACACCCAACTCCATCAGTGACAGCCTCTGCCTCAAACACCTCAGAACCAGCATCCTGTTTCCAGAGCCCCATTGTTCCCAATCCCGTCAGGTCCCCCTACCAGCCCCCAGTATTAGCCCTTTGCCTAGTATCAGCCCTGCCCCCATAGTCCCCTCACTACTAGCCCCACTTCCAGAGCCCCCCAGTACCAGCTCAACATAGTGGATGTCACAGTGCCCCTCAGTGTCAGCCACTCCCCCCTTAGAGCCTCTCACCCCCAGAGTCCCCCAGCACCCTTGTGCCTGACTCACCCCCCTCACCTAGCCCTGCTGAAGCCTCCCAACCCCAGCTGAGCACAGAGCACTTCCTTGCATATCAGAAGGGTTGCATGGAGCCTGCAGCATTCAGGGCCCCTGCTGAGTGCCATAGCAGCCAGTCTCCGCATGGCGCCTGGCAGAGCACTGCAGCTGCCCACCAGCTGGGCCGTGTAGCGGCCAATGGAGCTGGAACCAGGGCCATGGTGAGGCTGCCCCACTAGGGACAGGTTCACTGTGGCTCTGGCTGCAGCTGCAGTATACCTGGTTTGCCTGCTGGGCTGCTCACCCTGCTGCTGTGTGGTGCAGCCCAGTGAGCACTTTAGCAGAGTGTGCCACGGCCCAACAGGCAGGGGTTCATGGCTTTCCACCGGTCCACAGACTGGCAGTTGGAAGCCACTGATCTACACTGTCAGGAGAATCCCTCCCATCAGTGTAGGTAGTTTCAACAGTAAAGTTCTACAACAGTGCAACTGCAGTGGTTCAGCTGTGGCATTTCTAAAGTGCCTAATCAGACCTAAAGCCATCTGGGAACTAGTCTGGCCATGTCTACAATACAGAGACGATTGAAGCTGTCGATGTCAATCTTCCAGGGTTGAAATTAGTGGGTCTAGTGAAGACACGCTAAGTTGAACGGAGGGGGTGCTCCCGTCGATGCCAGTAGTTGAAGGGAGAGTGTGCTCCATTTGACTTCCCACAGTATGAACAGTGCCAGAATTTGACTAAAAATACTTCAACTTAAGCTATGCAATTAATTGGGCGGGGGAGAGGGGGAGGAGAGAGAGGCATAGCTCAGTGGTTTGAGCATTGGCCTGCTCAACCCATGGTTGTGAACTCAATCCTTGAAGAGGCCATTTAGGGCAAAAATTTGTCAGGGATGGTATCTGGTCCTGCTGTGAAAATAGGACACTGGACTCAATGACCTTTCAAGATCCCTTCCAGTTCTAGGAGACAGACAATCTCCATTAATTAATGTAACTGAAGTTGCATATATTAATTCAAACTTATCCCCTCCTATAAGCCAGGGATTTCTGTTTTGTGGAAAATTCTAGAAATTTCATATTCTTAGTCTTCATTTTGATTTATAAAAAGAAACAAAACTCCAACATCAAAAAATATATATTGGGGAAAATATTTGAGGACTGCTGAAATCTTTTGTTTCAATTTTGATGTTTATTAGTGTACAAAATAAAATAATTTTCATAATAGAAAGTCATGTTAATACTAAAGAAATAAAAAAATTCCTTAATAAAACATTGACTATATTTTGCCAAAAGATACATATTCCTGTGGGAACTTTCCGCTTCAGTGAAACAGAAAGATGTTCAGTTAGAAAATTTTCAACTGGCATTAATCAGAATGACATCTATGTGTTTAAGAAATCTGGTCTACAGATACTTGCACTCAACACCTATCAGCTTCAATGATTGGTGAATGTAGATCTCTGAGGGCTGGATACAGCTTTTAATCTTTGTATTCAGTGGCAGGATTCAAAGAGAAAAGGGGGGGAAACGTCTAGTAAGAAAAATTTTGTAAAATCAGCAAATGATCTGAACTAATGCACATGGGGGAAACAGAAAATGGGTGTGAGTGTTGCAGGTTATATCCAATCAGACCTGACAGTAAATTGCTTTTTAATCATGCTTTGCCTCTACTTAATCCTTTTAATCATCATGTCATTGCCTTCCTGTTTAAGTTTGCTTTATTCATATAAAGCAGTGGTAAGTCAACCCCTGCAGGGAAGAAGTGACAAAACTCAGCTTCTGGGAGCTCTGTGCAGTTTCAGCACTGATTAGCAGCAAATGGTATGAAGGGTTCAGTTGATTCCTGTACCCTTTTTTAATTGTCTGTTTTCAGAGAGGTAGGAAATTAGGGGCTAGTATGCATCTTCCAGCTGCTTCACTGTCAAATCCAAAAGTTTAAGGTGAAATACACTAATAAATGGGACCCGATCATAACTCCATGTCAGTCAAGGGGTTTTGGATTGGGCTCTTGGTCTATGACAAGATGATGGAGGAAAAGGAAAGACTGAAATCCTGTGCTAATGGAATACCAGTAACAAAAAAAGTATATTCTTTTTCATTTCTGCTTTGAAATATTAGCTGTCAGGCACAGCAGGATAAATGTATACATACAACAAAGATTAGTTGCCTTGAAAAAAAAAAAAAAGCTCTTGGCTGCATCTGATTAGAATATGACAGCTTCAGTAATAATGAACCAAGGGAGTTACACAGCATTTATAATCCATGGAGTCTGGAAACCAGATTATCTTTCTGCTATTCAAAACATGCAAAGTTTAAAATGTTAAATAAAGCACCACAGTAACACCACTATCATGACTGTCGTATTTGCAGACAACACAGCTGGAATTGAAACCAGAAGAAGTGGCTACAGCCGTAGGCAGCAAGAGTTGTATTTCCTCCCAGTTGTGATAGAAGACAGCAGCTATCCTGTACAGAGCAGCACAAACACAATGACTATCCATGTTTGCAGATGTGATTCTGATGGTACCATCCTATCCTGCAATGTTGAAGCAATCTTCCTACCAGTAGGACTCAGCACAGGGGCTCTGATTGCAATATTGCTGTGTATTGTTATACTTCTAGGTTAGTTTTCCTTCTGTAACAAAGTATGTTTTGATTTTACTTGTGAAGTAATTTGAGTCATGATAGTTCCATTTATTGTTCAGCAAAGCTATGCCTTTACAAAGGGTATGTCTACACTGCAAAGTTAATTAGAAATAACAGCCCTTATTTCGAATGAACTTTAATAGTGTCTATACATGCAAACCGCTATTTTGAAATTAATTCGAAAGAGTGGAGTGCTTAATTCAGATTTGGTAAACCTCATTCTACGAGGAGTAATGCCAAATTTGAAATAGCTGTTTCGAATTAAGTCCTGTGTAGACACTTAATTCGAAATAGGGGGCTCCAGCCCTTTTCAGGGAGCTCTGGTGGCCACTCTGGGAACAACTAGGAAAACTTACTCTCTTCTTCCCCCAGCCCTGGAGCCATTAAAGGGGTAGACCCTGGCCACAGTGCCTGTGCCAGCTCCAAGCCTGCCAGCCCAGAGCCAGCAATGGCCTCCAGGGCCCCTTACCAGTGGCCCCAAAACATGAGCCAGCAAGCCACTGGCAGCCAGCTCTCCACCGCTCCCCAGCAGAAGTTTGTCAGCTCCCAGGAGCCTGACGGGGCTGGAGAAGGCAGGCGCCTTCCTGGTCCAGGGTGGAGATCATGGACCTTTTTCAGGTTTGGGGGGGATGCCCCCAACGTCAATGATCTCCACACTAGACAGAGGAATGCAGCCATCTATGGCAGGATAGCTGCCAGCCTGGCCACCAAAGGCCACCTGTAAACCCAGGAGTAGGTTTGCATGACAATCAAGTTGGTCCAGCAAGACCCCCCCAATCCTGGGCCCTGAGCTTCCCCTCCACCTTCTTCCCCTGGCTTCCCCCTTCCAGCTCCCTCCTCCCAGGTTTCCTTCTCCCCTCTCCCACCCTCTCTCTTCCCCTCTCCCACCTCCTTTTCCCTGTCTCCCCAGAGGTTCATCCCCTCCCCCGTTTTGTTCAATAAACCCAGTTTCTATTTTTGAACATAGGTGTCTTTTGTTTGACATCAGGAAGGGGGGCTAGGGAGGGGTAAGTGGAAGGATGTGAGGGAGGAATGGGGCACGAGCCACTGGTGGGGA